CAGTATGAATATGTTTTTCAGCTATATAATAACTTTTCTAACACAAAAACATAGAGATAGGCTGTGCCTATGATCAGACGAATAGAAGATGTTCCTATGAGTTTCCTTTCCCAATATTTCGTGTTTACGAGATGAAATTTAAATTATTAACATTGAATATCGCCTGTACGCTTCTAATTAGTAAAAGAGCAAATTTTTATATGATTCTACATCTTCCAATAATGCAATGCTTGCAAAGCTTGTATAATGAACGATTTAAATGTCGCTATAAAACATTCCCTTTCTCTGCTTCATCTCCAGTATAATTTTTAATGGATGCTGAAGTTTGATTGCAAAACATTGGTAAGTTTGATTTTCAAAATGCACTTCATGAATAACTCTTTGACATCATATTTTTACCCAATTTTTCTTCTCTTTTTTCTTTATAACTCATGTATAAGAATCATCACATATTATAATTCAGTGGTACATATCAGGTGAACAATCTTACTATTCATTTTAGAATTTATGTGAACAAAATCTAATAGAAAAAAAATGTTTTCTTATAATATATATATATATATCTGTGTGTGGGTGTGTGTGTGTGTGTAGATTTGTAGATTTATATATATGTATATGTATATATAGATATGTAGATGTTTGTATCTCTATGCATAGATATGTAGATGTATATATCTTCATATGTATATGTATATACATGTATATATTCATGTATAACCATGCATATGGTTATACATGTTATTAAAGAAGGTTTGGGAGAGGATCCTCAAACTAAGCAAGAAACCAAGGCAAAAAAACCTAAATATACATGCATATTCATATACATTTAAAGATATATACATCTACATATCTATACATAGAGATATAAACATCTACATATCTATATATACATATACAAATCTATACATATACATATACATATATATAAATCTACAAATCTACACACACACACACAAATATATATATATATATATATCTTCATATATATAGATATACATTTGTATATCTATATATATATATACATATACATCTACATATATATCTGTATATGTGTCTATATACATATATCTGTATACATATACATATATGTGTCTATACATATATCTATATATAGATATATACATATATCTGTATATAGATATATAGACACATATATCTATATATATCTATATACATATATCTGTATATAGATATATAGACACATATATCTATATATATATACATATATCTGTATATGTGTCTATATACATATACATATATATACATATACATCTACATATATATCTATATATATATATGTGTCTATATATCTATATATATATACATATACATATATCTACATATATATACATATACATATATCTACATATATATACATATACATATATCTACATATATATACATATACATATATCTACATATATATACATATACATATAGATATACATATACATATACATATACATATAGATATACATGTACATCTATATATACATATATATACATATACATCTACATATATATACATATACATATATCTATATATATATATACATATACATCTACATATATATACATATACATATATCTATATATATATATACATATACATCTACATATATATCTGTATATGTGTCTATATACATATATCTGTATACATATACATATATGTGTCTATACATATATCTATATATAGATATATACATATATCTGTATATAGATATATAGACACATATATCTATATATATCTATATACATATATCTGTATATAGATATATAGACACATATATCTATATATATCTATATACATATATCTGTATATAGATATATAGACACATATATCTATATATATATACATATATCTGTATATGTGTCTATATACATATACATATATATACATATACATCTACATATATATACATATACATATAGATATACATATACATATACATATACATATAGATATACATGTACATCTATATATACATATATATACATATACATCTACATATATATACATATACATATAGATATACATATACATATACATATACATATAGATATACATGTACATCTATATATACATATATATATATATATATACATGTATATATATATATATACATGTATATATATATATATATATATATAATAATAATAATAATAATAATAATAATAATAATAATAATAATTTTGAACTAAAACAAGCCAAATATTTTTTTTTTCCTTAAACAATCAAATGGCCTAAAAATGCGAGGAGAATGTTGTAGGGAAGTTTAAGTTGATATGCCTCTTAATAGTCATAAATGGAAAAATAATACTAATGTTATATTTTCTTAAAAAATTATGTAGAAAAATTTGTTCAGATCAAAATATTATGCACTAGTTCTTATTTAACCCTTAGTTCGAACATTCGTTACGTACATGACCTCTTGTAATCTACTTCCTATATTTCCATTTCATTACCTTTAGATGGATATTTTATATACATAGTATTGCCTTTGATGGCATTCATAATAGTTGCTTGAAGGATGCAACTCCTCTCCTCAACATTTGGCTACTCCTTGCCTCTACATATGGGCAGCTATATTGTATGTAACAAACCAAATTAAGGAAGTATTTTAATTACCCTTTTCCACTAATACACGAACTATAACATTGTGTATACTAGTAATGTAAGATAGAATGACACAATCCCTTACTTTCCTAGGTGTCGTTTTCTATTATTTGTGTATGTTTTTCTTCTACTTGTATATTTTTCTTGGTATTAGAGCTTTTAGCATAATTGCATCTACTTCTTCATGAATCACTCATATTCTTCTTCAGCTCACCTCAGTCAATCCAACAATGTCTTCCTCACCCATATGATTAAATTATTTATCTTAGCTCCATTAAAATTTCTAATTTCATATCTCAAAAGATATATACTTCACCTCTCTCTATTAAAAACTATCAAGTTTGGAAAATTAAGTTCTACAAGACTTTCAACGCCAATGAATTTAATTAAATTTTTTTATGGAAGCATACCTTGCACAACCAATTATTCAGTTTTTTATGGAAGCATATCTTACAAATTGCACATCAAAATCTGCATCTCCTAGTCCCATCACTACCAAAAAACACTGTTTTATTATTTGTCAAATATGTCTTAAGATTGGTCAGTCAACAAAAAAATTATTAACATCGAGCTAATTTGTAGTACAAATCAAACACTTCTGCTCACAATTAGTAAATATCACTCTATTCAGTTCCCAAATCAAATCCATAGGAATGAGTTCTAGATTTATGAGCTACCACTCATCTTACACCTCATATAGAAAATCTCCAACATTATGCAACATACATGGACAATAGCATATCATAGTTGACAATGGGCGAACAACAAAAATTGGTCACATTAGTAATGGTGTTCTTCATACTCCACAAAGTAAGCTTACTCTGTCAAATCTTATTTCTTCTCTATCATTATGTCATAATTATTTATTAGTATATCTACTCAATAAAGACACAATTGCATAATTACATTTGATAAACATGGCTTCTGTATTTAGGGTCCCATCGCCAAGCTCCCACTTCTCCAAGGTCCAACTAAATACTAATTATACCCAACATCCATTACATTCCCTATCTATACCTTCAACCCTACAATCACCTTCTCTTTGTGGCATCAAAAAATAGGTCACCCACACCCTGCAGTATTTATTCTCATTTCCAAAGACAACCACAATATCATAATTCATCATTTGCATACCACCTATAGTGATTGTCAGCTAAATAAGTGTCACAAGCTTTCTTTTTCTTTAAGAGAAACTATGTATAAGCCCCTAAAACTAATACATTCAAATATCTGGGAATCTTTTTCTATTCCATCCTTAAGTGGATACAAATATTTTGTAGCATTTATAGACTCTTATTCCATGTTTTGTTGGATTTATCCAATGCACACAAAATTTGAAGTAGTTCAATAATTTTATTTCATTTTATAATGTGTTGCTTACTTAATTCAACAAAACAAACACATACTTAAGACCAGATGGGAGACGGGAATACACTTCACATAGCTCAAAATAATTCTTACTCTTTAAATTTATTTAGCACTAATTCAGTTGTCCATACACCTGAGCAAAATGTAGTTTTTGAAAGGAAGCATCAACATCTAATTGATAAAGCTAAAACTCTCCTAAACCAAGCTAAACTATCTTATCAATCCCATTTGGAATCTCTTATCTCTGCCACCTATTTGATAAATAGGTTAACATCTCTTTCTACTCAATTCAAATCTCCTTACCAGCTCCTATACAATCAAAAACAAATTTATAATAATCTAAGAGTGTTTGGATGGTCATGTCATCGTTGGCAATAATCATTACAAACTCACAATTTTCAACTAATCAACTCACTATATATTCCTGGGTTACAGTTCACTACATAAGGGATATAAATGTTATGATCCCTTCTCCAATCAAATTCTCATTTCAAGACATGCAATCATGAACAAAGTTTTTCTTTTACTCATACTACCTCCTATTCATCTTTAACTTAGCCATCCTCCTCTCCACTAAATATTCTCATTTGAATCCCCAAATTACAACACTAAAATCCTCGACACATTACATTCACATAAACCCCCCGATGTTTTATATATATATATATCATTTCTTAAAACTAAAAAAAATGATATTTTTATGTGTTATAAAAAATTTAGCTGGTAGAAATATAAATAATAACATAAATCAGGTGGCGTGTGTGTATATGCCTCAAAGTTTTTTCTTTTTCCTTCCCTCTGAAATGAAAAATCAATGCGGGCAGGCATTGGATAAGCACTACACGTCGTTAGCTACTTAGCTTGGCAGCTCCCAAACTTGTATTCGTAGCTCCACTCCCACGACAAAAGTTGAAGCAGCAATTGCTTCTTTTCCCGAAACCAAAATCACTTTTTTAAATCTGTAACTAATAAAAAACATCTTTTTAAATTATTAAACTAGAGAGGAAAAAAAAAACCGAAACGGGGCGACAAGGAAGTAGTCCCCGAAAGTTCCCTACTCTGTTTCTCGACGACTGTTGTTCTCCCAATCGCTGTCATTCTTCACCTGTGAGTCCAATCCTAGAGCCAAGAGAGAAAGAGAGAGCCCCCACAGATCCAGATTAAGAGGCTCTCCGCCCCTCTCTTGATATCTTATCTCAATTCTCGCCACACCACCTTGTCTTCATCCCCCCTCTCTCTTTCTCCCGCGAATCCCCAATATATATATACATATCTAAAAGAACCTTCTTTACTCCTAATCGAACCTATCTGCTCCACAGTTTTCTTAGTTGTATTCTGAAGGAGAGCTTGTCTGAAACCCTATCGAATCGTCGTTGTGCTTCAACGCCGCACCAATTGACGACGTAGTAGAGGGGTTTTGACTTATGGCGCTGATAGTGCTTGCCCTTATGGAGATCATGAGTAAGCCGACGCTTGGTGGCTTACTGTCGGAGTTGGCTTTCTTCGCTGCACCGCTTTGGGTCGCCGTCTTCGTGGGGCTTCTTGTTGGTTGGGCATGGAGGCCAGGATGGGCGACTGGTTTGGTTGGTGGAGAAAAGGTGAACCATAAAGAGAGCAAAGATGCATTATCCGGATTGCAGCTGGTGGTTCCGAGGTTGGAGTAAGTTGTCTTTCTGACTTTTTTTTTTTTTCTAATGAGGTTTCTGATCTCTAATGAGGTTTCTGATCTTGGTTTCGATTTGAATTATGAAGCTCTCCGTCAAAAGAGAACGAGAATTTGGCAGTGAAATTGGAGGATCTTCAGAACCTTTTCGCTCTTGTTGAAACAACAGATGGTGGACCAGCTTGGATTCCCATGATGAACAAGAGCTCGTCGACCATGAGCTACCAAGCTTGGCGCAGAGACCCACAGGCGTGCTTTGTTTCTGTGGATTTTTTTAGATTTCTCATGACAACTTGTTCAATCGAAGAATCTTTATATTTTTATACTACAGAAGGGCCCACCACAATATCGCAGCAGAACTATATTTGATGATGCGAAGCCTGAAACTGTGAGGGACTTCTTTTGGGACGATGAGTTTCGGATGAAGAATAGGTGGGATGATATGCTTCTGTTTCATGAATCCTTGGAGGAGTGTCCTGTTACTGGAAGAATGTTAGTTCATTGGATTCGAAAGGTGAGAGCTTTTTTTAGCTCTGGAAGTTAGCTGAGGAGCTCTGGTAATATCATCTAATTGGTGTTTGCTTGCCATTGTTTATGTATGTTTTGCAGTTCCCCTTCTTCTGCAGTGACAGGGAGTACACTATTGGTCGTAGGATATGGGAAGTAGATGGAGCTTATTACTGTGTCACTAAGGTATGCTAAGAAAATTTGTATAGGAAGATTTACATGCATACCAATCAATTCCTATGCATTTGTATATCTAACATCGAAACTTCATTATTTACATATATGCCAATTTACCTATGCATGAAAGGTGTAATTCGTTTTTAAGAGTTAAAATAATGATATTTTTAATGAGATATGAAAACTATCGGCGGTGTAGATGTACAAAAATAAAACTTTGGTGTTAGAGAGGTCAATACGTATGAATTGGGTGGTATATATGTAATTATTTGCTTCTTTTCCTGTTGGTATATTCATGCATCATAGCCAAATTGTGAGTTGAAGTAGTGAGGCAAATTGGTTTTTGCGCTACGTAGTTTAACTCTATGATTTGAACTTTCTTCTGTGGTTTTCTTTGTTGTTCTTCCCTTCTTGTTGTCGTTGAACTTCATAATTTATAACCTTAATTATGAATGGATTTGATCATTATATTATTGCTTGAATCATTTCAATGATGAAATAAAAATTGTTTTATCATAATTTTTTTCTGATCTTTGTGTTGTTTTCCCATTAAATGACACAGTATGCTTAGCTATTTATTTGATAGTTAAATTGGTTTGTTTGCTTTTTCTATGAATGGATGCAGATATGAAGAGAAAAAAAAAATGAAAATCTCAAGGAAAAGAATTTAATTTTCGATAGAGTTGCTAGTTGGTAGTAACTATCAAGGGTTTCCATTTTCATGTGCATGCTATCATTGTAGTGCTCTGTTTAAAACATTTTTAGTATCTTAAAGAATTGTAGGGGCAATAATAATGGAAAAAAAGTAATTCTCTTAAAAAACTAGCATGAATAATTTACTTAAGTAAAAGGCAACTTTGGTGGATTTTTATGATTCATGAATGAATATCATGAGTACTTTTATTGGAATCCTTATGAGAGTATTAGATTTATTTCTCATGGTTATTTTATTTTTAGTGAATAGTATATAGCTATATAAAAACAATATAATGATTTTGTGCAAAGTTGAGCTTGTAACCAATGTGGTCTTTTGGGAAGCTAATTGAAATCATGTTTTAAAAGAAAAATGTAATGAATTTTTAAAAGATTTGCAGGTACCAAATAATCCAATTTTTATAAGCCATAGAAGTTGTTGCCAAGGTCTTGAGTCTGATTCTCATCAATAAAATGATAAACGAAAAAATTTAATTTTGTGGAAATATTTGGTATTTACTAGAACTTGAGAGAATTGAACATTTGAGAAATTATATTTAAGGATTCTATAAGCTTAATTTTCATCTAAATCATGTTTTTAATAGCCTTGAAGATTGTGCTCCGTCAAGTTTGTCTCTCATAATGATTAAAAATTGTCAATTAGTTTGCGTGTGAATCTAATTAAGGGTCTGTTTGGGGCAGCTGCAGCTTATCCAGCTTATGCTGATAAACAACTTATCCTGATTATCTGCTGATGACCAGCTGATCCAGATAAGCTGACTGACTGTTTGGTTAGTGCGTTTTGAGAACAGTTGATTCTAGATAAATGACTAATCTGCCCATGTTCTGGATAAGCTGTTTAACTGTTTAGTTCGTACGTTTTGTAAATAACTTATTTGCAATTTTTTTTTTACAAATTTACCAACCTTCTTAATACAATCATAAAGGGGAGATAAATGTGAAGATTGAAGAACATGAAAAATACAAAATATTCTAAAAATTAAAGTTCAAATGTTAAGACATAAAAATGCAAAATATTTATATCTCTAAAATATTTCAGATCACATCACAGAAGTACAGTTATCTAAACAAAAGTGAAACACATCTTAACACACTAATATGTACAATAATGAGACCCAAAAAAAAAGAAAAAATAACATGTCGAAATTACAAGGAAAAAAAAATTAGAATATTGACTTTAAAATATAGCAACATATCATGACCCATTCTGCCCGAATTTGACACTCCAAAACTCTGAGCGAACATTTCCGACTGGGATATCGTAGAAATGAAAGCACTCAAATCAGAAGCGGTGTTATTAAATTTTGATACCGACGAACTCTGAGTAGTGGCGTCAAGTTGAGATAACATAGAAACGAATGTACTGTCTGCCCACCTGAAGAAAGTGCAGTCCTCTTGTCCTTGTGCCCACCGCGAGCACCTGTAAAATTGACTCCCGTAGCTATGTGGCTGGCGTGACGTGAGTAGCAAAGTCGGTAGCTTGCACCGGCACATCACCTGCCTTGACTTCCTTGAATATCTGGAACTCATCGTCCTGCAGTTATTAGAAGAACAATAAATCAGTCAAAAAATTGAGAAAATATAGAAAACATACTTACCGAAATATGGAGGTAACGACTGCAGAAAACAAATTTGTGTGGCCATCGAAACTGCTCCATAATAATCTCGATAAATCAGTACAATTTAGCATGAAAAAACATTTTTTTATAATAGATAAAGCCAAATAGTGGCATTTGCTCCATAAATTCAAATGTGAAAGCATGTCATTTTAAGCCAAAAATAGGATGTCACAATTGCAACGATACACATACGAAACATTCATGATTGAAAAAGATAATACGATCAAAGATAACATAATGTGCCCCCATGGAGATCAAATAGAAAGGAGTCGATAACATAAATATTACAAACAAATCACATAAATCAAATAGAAACCAGTTAATCATTCATGAAAGAGCACAAGTAGGGGAGTCGGAATTCTTGGTCCAAAGTCGCAAAAAACTGTCTCCGAGTTGAGTTTCCTAACAACTTCACGTACTTCACATACATAGCTTCGTCTTTCTTAATACCACTGTGTTGTCCTTCGTCGGCGCAGATTTATTTTTGCAGGTTTCAAGCAGTGTCTCAATAGTACCTCTAACAAATGCGAAACATTTATTTTTTTTAGGTCGGTGACGTTTTGTCCCGCCAGTGGATTGAACATCTGTGTGAATTTGGCATGGACCTTGTCATGAGTCACCTATGTGCTCTGTATCCATATCCTGTGCTAAGCTCTCATATGGGCTGAAAACATGAGCTCCAGTTGCTACAATGTCAGTGAACATGTCATCCAATTTCTCCTCCAAAAATGATTCAATGCCAGTCAATTTGAATTTTTTTGCCGCTGTCACTGCTTGTATTAACAAAATAAGAAGTATTCAATAGTCAAATCATTTCACTGAGAAGATATATGGAAAAAGTCGTGTAATTACCTCTAATTTTTCTGCCTACCATCCTCTGGTGCATCAATTGTTCGCTTCAATGGATCCCATCCCAATCCAGTTGATCCCCTTTTAAGTTCTTTCCAAATTTTCTAGTTTTTTTTCAATTTATCCCACTTGTTTTTTGAGTTTCATCCGATCGTAATCCCTTCCGATTATTTTCTTCAATTTAGTCGTGAGATTTTGCCAACCCTCTTTATTAAAATAGGTAGTGGACCTATTTTCTAACTCGACCTTCCTCAGACAGAGGTCAAAAAATATATTAGTGGTCTCTCTATCCCACATGGCCGAAGATCCGACCTCTTTTTTTTTACTCATTTTTTACTGTGAGACACAGGGATGGTAAGATAACATGTATGTAAGAAATAAACCTTTTATGCATATGAAAGATATCATGTAGGTTAAAATCGAAATATGTGCTTCGTTACCTGCAGCATCAAAGAAAATCTTTAAAAATTAAAAATGAGGAATATGAATGTTTATGAAATTTTGCAATTAATGGAGTTTCCACCACTGCAAATATTTAGCACCTTCAGAAAGAAGGTTCCTTCAATGAAAGATGTATAAGAGTACTAAGCCAACAAGTACCAAATCTTGCTCCATAATGTGTGCTGCCATCTGAAGCTCTTTAATGTAAACTACAATGCTACGGACAAATGAAATTGAAAAATGTCCTTTTTTCCACCAAGTACCAAGCAAAATCTAAAAAGATTTTCACTTGGAATAGAATAACGGTATTGTTTCCAGATTTCACATGCTAACTGCTCTTGCAACCATATTACCATTCTAATGGCAGGCAAATAATTAAATGGAAATTTCATGAATTTCTGAAATGGGACAATGAACAAAGTTTCCAACTTTCAGGTACGAAAACATCAGAGAACGACACAGCAAGTGACCCCAATTTTCCAGTTACGAAAACATTAGCCAACAAAAAAGAAAAGATCAGAAAGCATCATAATACATCAAAGTGGGTTCTTAAAGTGACCTTAATTTCCCAGCTTTCAGGCACAGTAAAACCAACAAAAAATGGGGAATAGCTCTAGGCCAGACACGAACACATTAGAGGAAGATCCGCAAAATCAAAATTTTCCAGCTAGTACCACCTTAAACCGAAAAACAACAGTAGAATATGAACAACAAAGGAATCATTGTCGATGTATCAAATATCTCGTTAAAACATCAGATCTACATTTTTATCAACTTTCATCATTCTCAACAAGTGGATCTAAATTTTTAGCTCTTATCAACACTTCTGGATTCAATGCAAAACTCAACAGATAGATCGTCGAAAACTACGAAAGCTTTCGGCCAAATAGGGGAGAGGATGGAGTAGCGGAGGGAGGAGAGGAGATCTTACCTGTAGAGCGATCGACGCCAAAGAGGAAAGGTAGGGCTACGCGCGAGGGCAATGGAGTAAACAGTAGAGTCTAAATCACACGAAACAAGAGAACGCTGTTTGTAGAAACACACCTAAATCACACGAAACAAACACTAAGGCGAAGTTTTGAAAAACGCCGCCGCACATATAAGCTGCCCCAAACGGGCCCTAAGTGTTGGGCTAAATAGGATAGATTGGTCTATTATTATTATTATGATATTTTAACTTTTGGTTTGATAAGTTAGATTAGTCTACTGTTAGGATATTTTAACTTTTAGAGCTTGCACTTAACTATGGCTCCTAGGAGTTAGAAGGAAAATTCAATTACATTAGCCAACTCCTGTGTTAGAAGCTAATTATGTCAGAGGTTTATCCTTGTGCTCCTTCCTAATAAAATGAAATAGCTGTTTGTGCTAGAAAATTGTAAAAGATTT